TCTCTTTCTCTCTCTCTTCTCTGAAAAATTAAAAAATAATAATAAATACCCTCTCTGTATCTTTAGCAGTTTTTAGTCATTATAAAGTCTCTGAAAAATATATAAGCAAATAAAACAAAAGGCATGATTTCTAAAATCTAAGTTAAATGTTAGCATCTCCTCTAAATACAACTGGGAGTCATTACCCTGTTTTGATTTCTATATCTCAAAAAAAGGGGAGGGAGGGACAAAACTGGTGTATAATCTCTTATTCAAACTCTTAAAGGCCAGGTTTATCTCGAACTGCAATTTTTCAGATTTTAGAAAGTTAAAATAGCATATATATTATATATGAACATGGTTAAGCAATGGTAAATATGTCACCATGTAACTATAAATACAAAATATCTCCTTCAACCAATGACCTTAGTGACCTTAGCCATACAAAATACAGTAAGATATATAGATCTAAACACTCTGCCAGAAGCACTTTATTACTAACATCCTTCCCTTAGTCCTGCACGCACTCTACACACATTTCTCTAAGAAGCTGGTTATCTGTTTTCCATAGATAATTTAGAAACAAAACTATAAGGACTCAAAGAAGTGAAGGAATGCAGGATGGTCTTCTCCCATCCCCTTCCAACCAGTCTGAGATGTACACTGGGAAGCAGAGCACTCTGACAGCATTAAGTGTCAAATGACAATCTGGCACCTGTTCTGTTTATTGCATATTTATCGATACCTACTAAGCACTGTGCACTAGAGAAAATACTAGAAATGTAAAGATAAACAGGACAAGTACTACCTCTTAGGTGCTTACAGTCCAGTGGAGGTTATAGTGGATAATGGGGTTGGACAGTAAATTACAATACAGTATGACATGTTCAATAAAAGCAGTATGGGGGCCAGCTAAATTTTCATTAAGAAAGCGACACCAATACTTTAAACAATAAAAAATAAATTCATATGAAAGTATAAAAAAGAAAGCGACACCTGAGTAGAGTTTTGAAGAATAAGAAGTCTGTAAAACAACAGAGAAGAGATAGTAAAAATATCCCTCCCCCATACACACCTAAATACATTCACCTGAAAGGAAAAAAAAAGAGAGGAACACTTTCATAGTAAGTTGCAAACATGTCCAAAATATCTAGTATATAAACAGACTTGGATCCTGAATCTAAGCATATATAACACATTAAAGTGTATTCAGAAAAGGGAAATTTTCTTTTCCCTCCTCGATAATTCATTTTGCATTTCCATATTATATAAGTTATGGGTCTTACAAAAAAATATAACATTACAAACCATTTTATTAGTTCCAAATAAAGCATACCCCCAAGTGATATACCTGGAAATTTGCATCTGTATTTCAGAGAACAAGCTGTTAGAAATTATTTTTCTAGGTCATCCTTATAGACAAAGTAAATAAATGAACAAGCCACATCAGTGTGACTTGTCATAAGAAAGGAGTCTTTAAAGTTTAAAAAAAGGAAGCCAAGTTAAAAAAAAAAAACCC